TAAACTATGACATTTATAAATGTATGAATCATATGGTGAAAAACTGACTTTGAAAAATAAATCAGTTCTTTTTTCTTATAAAAGGTTAAATAAAACAAAAATGTTGGTGGTAATTTTTGACTGTGTAACTTTACAAACGGCACCTGGTCATGCTCGTCTGTGTCGTTCAGTGACCTTTTTGCATTTTTTCTCCCTTGCTTTTTTGGTTCTCCCATACTGGTTTTATTGCTGCAAGCTAAATGCTAGCCCACAAACGGGGTGCGGAGGGTAAAAAAGTCCTGAATGAGGACATCATTGAGAACCATCTATTGAGCAGCATTTCACTTGTTAAAGACTAAACTTCAGACAGAAAGGTCCACAAACAAACAGCAACTGAAAACCTCTGCAGTGAAGGCCTGGCAGAGCATTAAAAAGGAGGAAACACAGCGTCTGGTGATGTCCATGAGTTCAAGACTTCAGGCAGTCATTGCCAACAAAGGGTTTTTAACCAAGTACTAGCAATGAACATTTTACTTACAATTATTTAATCTGTTACTTTTGAGCCTCTGAAATGAAGGGATTGTGTTTAAAAGATGCTTCAGTTCCTCACATTTTTAAGCAATCATTTTGTTCAACCCACTGAATTGAAGCTGAAAGTCTGAACTTCAACAGCATCTGAATTGTTTTGTTTAAAATTCATTGTGATAATGTCTAGAACCAAAATTAGAAAAATGTTGTCACTGTCCAAATATATATGGATCTAACTGTATGTTTTTATCAGTTCAACATTCTGGTGAACTTGAATACTGATGTTCAGAAGCATTACTCTGACAATCTTAGGTCAGACAGAGAACAGTACGTTTCAAAGCAGTACTTCTTGAATGAATATTGAAAATGAAAACTGTGTTTGAAGATGAATTTTAGCTGTTTACAGCTGGTCACAGAATCTACAGAACTGCTTGTATAAGTTATGACAGTAAGGAAATGAATTATAATTTGTTGTAAAAAACAAGACCTTCAAATATGCCAGAAATTTGAGTGTAATCCATCTACCACACAGACACGAAAAGAAAGATAAGGATTGCATCATTCATCTGACAGCTTCTCGCTCTTGTATTAAAGAAATCTACAGAAACCTTTTTACAGGAGAGAGATGGGGAAGTGCAGAAGGTTCAGGAACAATAATCTGTGGTTCCTGCAGAATAAAAACAGTCACAGAATAGTTCTGACAGTGTTTTACACACTAGATTTAAAGTTGCGTAAAAGGCAGCATCCTGTTTAGGTTCTGCAAAACTTTTCTATTTTAAGATAAACTCTATAGAGATGACATATCATGACTCACTTTTAAAGTTACCGTCTGGACCTCAGTTGAATAATATTTCCCTGTTTAATCTACAAAAAACCCTGCGAGGAAACCAAACCTAAAAGCCTACCCCACCCCCTCCTGCACTCTCTAATACTGCTTTATGTTTTACAGGTCAGGAAGTATCAGTTCCACCCAGGGAAGGTCAGATCCAGAGGACAGGAAAGGCATTGTTCTGATCTGAGCAATAAAAGGTGGAGCTGTTTCTGGAAACGTTAAACACTCATGGAAGCTTTTTCTTTGACTTCAGAGCTAAAGAATTCAGAAGAGCAGTCTGATGATATCTGAGCTTCATCTGCTGTTTGTCTTCTGCCTGCAGGCAGAGGCCTGAAACATCTGCTGCATACCACCAGGCACTTTAATGATTTACTCAGAAAACATTTTCTGGTCAACTTTCTTTGCTTTAAACTGAGAAAAGCCTACAGATTAAATAACACATAAACAGAAAAAAGGTTGCAGTTGTGATACTTTAACACAAGTTTTTCAGGCAGAACAGCTAAGAGAACCTCACACCCACATTTAGCTTGAGGCAGGAGAACGGAGGCACTGAAAAATAAATGCTCTTACCTTAAACCGTGGCTCAGAACAAGAGAGAAATAAGGGTTCTGCAGGTTAGTCCATAGTTTCTCTCAAATGAGGCAAAACAGAGAAAGTCATCTGAACCCAGGAAGTTTGACTTTCTCACCTCTGCTCACCCATCAGCTGGCTCCTCCTTCTTCCTCTTATTTTCTTTCTGCTTTGCTGCTAATCGTTTTTTGTTTTTTTAACTGCACACTAAAGACAATTGGCCCATTTAGGATGTTTTACTCAAGGTTTTAAGGCCACTTGAAACAAAATTTAATCATTTTTTTGTGTCTTCAACAAAATGGACATAAAGCGGGTAAAATAAGTATTGAACACGTCACCATTTTTCTCAGTAAATATATTACTAGAGGTGCTAATGACATGAAATTTCACCAGATGTCGGTAAC